GGTAGTGCACATCAGTGTCTGAGGTGGGAGGACATCATCGAGCTATCAAAGCCCACTTAGGCTCTTCACTTTATTTATTCCTCCTAACTGCAATCCTAGCTAGCCCCTCACCCCCCCTCTCTCCCCCCCGCCCACACCCATACATGTCACCCGGCCGAGGCCTGCATAGCCCCCCCCTTCACCCACACCTCCATAGCAGTATCAGTCCCCTCCCCCCCCCACACACACATACACACGCCACCGCCCCCCCTCACCCGGGGGCACCTTGTCCACACACGCCCGGTCCCCCTGACCGCACACCCCGCAGCTGACGGCGCAGTAGCCGCCAATCAGCAGGACGTGCGGGTCGGTGGGTCGGCGAATACCTGCCGTACCGCACAGCCCCTGAGCCACCACCTGCGGGCAACTGAGCAGATCGGTGCCTGCGGGGGCCCCACGGGTTTGGAGGATTGGTGGGGGAGGGCGCGTGTGTGTATGTGTGTGTGTGTATGTGAAGAGACTGTGTATGTGGTAAGAACTAAAGAAGTTTGAAGCAACCCCTCCTTTCCCCCCCACCTCCCCCCCCCGTTGTCCCCATCTCTTCATATCGGCTCACTCGCCTGTAGTCGTAGGCACCAACACACACACACACACTTGTTTCCGACTTCCCCCCATCCCCTACCCCCGGGGGAACCCATCCCGCTTACCCGGCGGCGCAATGTCCGTACAGAAGGGGTCAACCCAGCTGTTGTACGACAGTGGAAGCGCATCCGGTACATCTGAGGCTGGGTCGGGGGCCATACTACAAAAGTGCGCTCCAGGGGTGGCTGAGGAGCCCCCTCCGCCCGACACCCAGGGACAAGCGACCCACGGGTCCTGAGGGTTGAGCAGGACACCGGAAGATATAACTGACATGAAGATAGCTAGAGAAAGCTCAAGATAAGATAATGGTGGTGTGAGGTCGTTGATACGAGCCTGTGTGGGTGGGTGCGTGTAGGCATGTATGCATGTATGAACGACTCTCCTATGTTTAATGGTATGCATGAACGTATGTACGGCTGTATGGCTGCATTAACTTAGGGTTTTAGGGTTTAGGGTTTAGGGTTTTAGGGTTTAGGGTTTAGGGTTTTAAAACAGGGTTTTAGGGTTTTCGGGAGCTCAAGGACAAGCCCCCCCCCTACTTGGGCGCCCGCTACCTTCCCCCCTACCTTCCCCCCTTACCTGGGCCCCCTAGCCCCCCCCCCTACCTGGCCCTCCTACCCCCCGTACCTGGCCCCCCATGGTGGTGGTGTTCACCCAGTACCAGGCATTGAAGTACCGGGTGCCCCACACGGTGACGCCGTCGGCGGAGAAGGGCGGGTCGCGGGACGCGTCACCTGCCCCCCCGCGGTGGGGGAGGAGTGGAGGGGTGGGGGGGGGAAATGACCTGAGCAGTGGGATGCTAAACGCAAAAGAAGGTCAATTGTTGGATATTCCATTCTAAAGTGGGGTTACGGTGTTGGTTGGGATTTGTTGGAGTTTTAGCTGGGGGTTGTTAGGGTGTTAGTCGGGGCTGTAAGATGTTGGTTGTTGGTTGCGGGTGTCAGTTGGGGTGTCTGTTGGCGGCTGCTGGCTGCTACCAGGCCGTACCCAAGTTTCCGTACACCCGGCACCCCTTCCCTTGCCCACCTTACACCTTCCCTCGCACCCTCGCACGGGGGTCCCGTCCACACACTTACATGCATACATACACACACAGCCAAGTTCCACCCCTACCGAACCCCCCATGTGCGACATACCCGGGTCAACCATTTTTATGTAGATATGTTTCCCACTGAACCAGTAGAGATCCCCGCCCCCCTCCAGCACCTCCCCCAGGCTGCCGGCCTGCCGTACAGGGGAGCTCAGTGCCGGGTACCAACGAAACACCCGGGACACGGAGAAGGTGGTGCCTGAGGGGTTAGTTAGCAGTTGGGGAGTTGGCAGTTGGCAGTTGGGGTTGTGGAGGGCCAGGGTTGGGGGCTTTGATGAGTGAAGGTGTCCTAATTTTTGGAGACAGGTCAAAACCAAACCGACTGTTCTGTGCTTACGTATGTGTGTTTGTATGTATGTCAGAAGATGATGTACACATATGGGTTTGATGGGTGGGTAAGCAAATGGGTGGCGAGGGGCAATCGGGGAGTTATAGAACCATCCAGGGGGGAGCACACATGGCCACGGACGTTGCGGGTACGGCAGGTGAGGTAAGTACTGGTCAACTTTTTGTGCTTGTGTATGTGTTTAGGGTGATATGAGACCGCCCCTCCTCCCCCCCTCCTCCCCCTCCCCCCCACCTGGGGGGTAGCGGGTGGCGAACACCAAACTGGCTCCCGGGGGGATCTGGGTCATAAACACCTGCAGGGGGGAGAAGGGGGGTTGGGTGCGTTTGTGTGTATGTATGTGTGTATGTATGTGTGTATGTATGTGTGTATGTATGTATGTATGTGCGTATGTATGTATATGGAGAAGGGTGGGGTGGGTGGGAATCATATGTACGACGTGAAGGAACCATTGCAAGGGGGTAGGAAAGGGGTGGACTGGGTATTGCACGTAGCAGCACGATACCAAATTACCACGTTAAGTACTCACTAGAGTACGACAAATTAACCAAGCCCGCATACGTCCCGTTTTCCGTTAACGTCCGTTAACGTTTAGTAACGTTCAATAACGTCCAGTAACGTCCAGTAACGTGTAATAATGGAACTCAGCGCAGTACCCTGACTTTCCTGAACCCCAGCTGCCATACATGCGGCATCAGCCATCAGCCCTCAGGCAGTTGGTTGCCGTACATACCTGCAGTACGGGAGTAACCCCCGGATCCAGGTGAAGGTACCAGCCTGTCGTACCGCTCACCCCCGTGATACCCTAGGGAGCGGGGGGGAAACCAGGGGGGAGGGAGGGGGGAAGTGGTGCAGGAGATGTACCTCAGCATGGAGGATCCGAATGGGTCCCGTAGCAGAATGTATGTATGTACGTATGCGCGCACAGAGGCTGAAGGAAGTCTACGAGCCAACAAGTAAATCATGGATGAGAAGGGGGAGGGGGAGGAGGGGGAGGAGGGGAGGGGGGAGG